CATTGATTCCCACCTCCTGGTAGTCAGAACCTTCTGTAGTTCTCCTCCCCCGTACCTCATGTGAGATCAATAACATACAGTGGAAATAATGGTGTGTCACTCTGTTATTAACTTATTTTTATAAGTGTGGCTTTTATCTTGGTGCTTTCTCTCTTCCTCTCTCTTAGTCAGATCACTTGCTCCAAGAGAAGCCAACAGCCCTGTGATGAGGCCCATGTGGAGAAGAACTGAGGCCAAAGACAGTAATGAGCTGAGGCTTCTTCCCACAGCCATATGGTTGGGCCATCTTGGACACACGTCCTCTAGCTCCAGTCAAGTGTCAGATGACTGCAGGTCTAGCCAACATCTTGATGGTAACGTCCTGAAAGACCCTGAGTCAGAACCACCCGGCTAAGCCATTCCCAGATTCCTGACCCTCAGAAACTGCATGAAATACTGAATGCTTTTGTTTTCAGTCACTAAGTGTATTAACTATGTGCTTCTGATGCTTTGACAGCTGGGACCCTGCTGACCCTTCAGAATCCGCCCCTCCCAGGGCTGGCCAATTCCAAGAGATTGTGCCTGCCTTTCATATGCAGACCAGAGCCCACGCCCCAGCCCCCTCCTCTACCAGGCTTTCATGCACCGGGCCACTATCCACCTGCACTAATCANAAAAAAAAAATTCTTCAGACCATCAAAATTCTACTGGCAGGAAGCTGGCTGAGGATACTACTCTGCTGCAAACACACAATACCTTTTTCCAAACTCTGTCTTTGAACAGAAGTGTCTAGAGTGGTTATTCTTTGTCTATTCCATGTATGTTTAGTGGGGGAGGGAGTGGGTAGGCAGATAACTTGTCAAGAAGAACTGCACTAGAGGAATTGTATTTAAGGAAATATAGTCATACCTGAACCTGATTTAGGTTTTGAGACTGGACATCGAGCAGATGCTATAATAGGATAAGTCTGTTGGGACCTTTGGAAGGAGTTGACCGTATTTTGCATGTGGAAAGGGTATGAATCTTTGGGGACCAGACGGTGGACTGTGGTTGCCTGCGAGTTGGCCCACATTGATTCCCACCTCCTGGTAGTCAGAACCTTCTGTAGTTCTCCTCCCCCGTACCTCATG